TGATTAAGCGGTAGGGGTAACTATGGCTGTTGATTCCACTAATTTTAGTAGTAAAAGTTCACATTTTGTATAAGAAAATAGAAGGTAAGTTTTTATTAAACCACAATCTGTAAGTAAACATAACAATTCAATAAGTAAACAAAATAATAATTTGAACACATGTTAGAAATAAAATGTAAATAAAACATATGCTAACACCTCCTCCTCTATTTACTGTGCTGCGGCACTTTACGAAGAATCAGCTGGTCAACATGTCTTCTTATTATTCGTCCATCTTCCAGCTGAACTACGTACATTACATGTCCTTGCTTTTGAGTTATATAGCCCGAATACCACTTGGACGAACCATTGACATATTCCCGCGCTTGCACTTTATCTCCAACTTTGAAATTCCTTTTTATACCGACTTGGACTCCCTTCTTCTGATATTTGTTCGGTTCTAATGTTGGAACAATTATTGCTAGGTTTGTTCGTACACTCCTTCCAAACATTAGGTGATATGCTGATGTACCTGTTGAATTCGGGGATTGCCTGAGTTGCATTAGAAGTCTTTGGATTTTATTTTGCAGTGTACCCTTTTCTCCCTCCATGGATTTTAACGCCTTCTTGACAGTCTGCACGTGCCTTTCAGCCTGGCCATTTGAGTTTGGATGGTATGGTGCCGTTGTTCTGTGAATAATCCCACATTCATTCATGAAGTTTTTGAACTCTTGAGAAACAAACTGTCTTCCATTATCTGAAACTAGGATGTGAGGAAACCCAAAAGTTGAGAAGATTTTCCGTAATTCTTGGACTGTCCATGTACTTGTAGTTGTTTTCGTGTGTATCACATCCACCCACTTACTAAAGGCATCCACTAATATCAGGTACTGTTGGCCATCTGTTGGTCCTAAGAAATCAATGTGCACCCTCTCCCATGGATTAGAAGGTTGTTCCCATGGATGGATAGTTTTCCTCGGGTTGTTGCATTTTTCAATGCATTGTCGACATTCAGTTACCATATCTTCAATATCCTTGTCTATACTTTTCCACCAGCAAAAACTGCGAGCTAAAGCCTTCATTTTTATTCCTCCTAAATGAGCTACATGTAGTTCTCGAAGCACATGAGGTCTGAGAGATTGAGGTATCATGACTCTCCAGCCCTTCAGTACACAATCATCTTGAATAGACAGCTCGTTATCGTGAAATCCGTATTGTTCAACAGATTGTCCTGATTTCAAGGCCTGTAGGACTGGACCCAAAACAGCATCGTTGAGAGTTTCCTTAGCCACCACGGTACTGTTGATATTGAGTGTTTCCAGTTGATTTATGTGGTACTTCGAGAGGTCATCTACAGAATGTTCTTGTACAACTTCGATAGGGAATCGAGAGAGATAGTCTGCATTCCAATGATGAGCAGTTTGCCTGTACTCTATGTCATAGTCGAACCCGGAGAGAAAGTGAGCATAGTTGAATATCCGTGTTGCCGAGATTGTTGGTAAGGTCTTTGCTGGATTAAAAATTGACACCAGCGGTTTGTGATCAGTGATCAAAGTAAATTTGCGGCCATAACAAAACGGGAAAAACTTTTTCAGGCCCCAATATATTCCCAAGGCTTCCTTATCGATCTGAGAGTATTTTTGTTCTGATTTTGATAAAGATCGAGAGGCGAAGGCGATTGGCCTGTCTGTTCCATCCCTATAGCGGTGCGAAAGAACGGCTCCTACACCTACCGGCGAAGCATCAGTAGCTAAGACCAGTGGCAAGCTAGGATCAAAGTGTACCAACACGTCATCACTTGTAATAATTTCTTTAATCTTCAGAAAACTCTGTTCACAAGCAGAGCTCCATGTAAAAGTGTTTCCTTTTCGTAGCAGCCGATTCAAAGGATGTAGCAGTGTAGCCAAATGCTTTATGAATTTGTTGTAATAATTCGCAAGGCCTAGGAAAGTTCGGAGTTCAGTTACGTTCTCTGGTTTTTTACATTTTAAAATGCTCTGTATTTTAGCATCTGACTTGTGTAGTCCTTTGCTATCGATCACATGACCTAAGTACTCAATTTTGTTCTGGAAAAACTTACACTTCTCTCTATTTAACCTCAAATCATTTAACTTCAATCGTTCAAACACCTGTTCCAGTCGACGAAGAAGCTGTTCCCTGTTAGATCCTTGGACAATTACGTCGTCAAAGAAACATTGTACGCCTTCTAAGTTATGTAATGTTTTGTCCATGAATCTTTGCCATAACAAGGGTGCCACTTTTACTCCAAACATTAATCTGTTCACTTTAAACAGCCCTTTGTGAGTACTGATTGTTTGCATGATGGCACTGTCTTCGTCCATCTCCATGTGCAAGTATGCGTTACTGATATCAAGAGTACAAAATATCTTTCCACAATGCATCATTGACATGATATCATCAATCCGAGGTATAGGGTAATGTTCGTCTTTAATAACTTTGTTCAAAGTCACCTTGTAGTCAGCACATATTCTGACTGAACCATTGGGTTTGACAACCGGCACAATGGGTGTGCCCCAATCGGATGATTCGACACGTGTGATTATACCCAAAGTCTCCAGTCTTTCAAGTTCCTTCTCTACTTTTTCTTTTAATGCTTATGGCATGTGTCTAGGTTTAATGAAAATTGGCTGGGTTTCGTCTTTTACATTAAAATGACCCTTTTCTTTTGGTATTTTCCCAATGCCTTCTTTGAAAATGTCTTCGTATCGAATCATCAAATCATCTAGTTCTTGGATGTTTTCGTTTTCACTTGAATTTAATGAATGTATGTCAGCTGCATCAAGTTGAATCTCTCTTATCCATTCTCTTCCGAATATAGAGTCTACACACTTGTTAACAATGTACAGTTTTCCAACAAAACTTTGATCTTTATACTGAACATTTACAAAAACAACTCCTCTTGGATTGATTATTTCCCCAGTGTATGTCTTGAGTTGAACATTTGTCTTGAAAATCCTTTTTGGAGAGTTTAAAAGCTTAAATGTATCATAGGATACAATGCTGAGAGCCGCTCCTGTATCTAACTCCATTGTCATGAGTCGTCCTTCCACTTTTACCTCGAGCATAAACTTGTCATTTGATTTTGAATGAAGTTGGTAAATTTCATGAGTGTCATCATCGCTTGTATTTTCTGCGGTTTCATCTGATTGTTTTACTTCTTTGTTTGGTTTTCTTAGACATACTCTTGCTAAGTGACCAAAACGTTTACAAGAGTTACATTCTGCATTTTTGAACTTGCATTGATGTGCTCTATGTGAATCATCACCACATCTATAGCATTTGTTTCTCAGTTTCTCCAAACGAGTTTGATACTCAGAGAGTTGTATATTGTTAGATTTACAAGGTTTCCTATCTGGCTGTTTGTTCTTGCTTGATACTTGGTGTACTTCCTCTTGATTTCCATTTGTCTTTACTATTCTGCTCTCACTTTTCGCTAGTTCCAATGTAGCAGCCTTTTCGACTACTTCTTTAAACGGTTGCAATAGTTTATCTTGAAGAAGTTGAAGACGTATATCAGAGTCTTTTAATCCCCTGACAAACTGCATTCGAAGTAGAATTTCAGATACAGATTCATTACAACTTGTACAAGTAAACTGACATTCTACACTGAGCTTTCTAAGAGCATTAGCGTAAGCTTGTACAGATTCATTACACAATTGGGTACGTGTCGTAAATTTGTGCTGACGTGCCCAAATACTGGGTTTTGGTTCTAGTTGAGCCATTAACATGTGAATCAATTCCTCATATGGCTTGTTGTGTGGGTCATCTGGTATGCAAAGATCGTATAGCTGTTCATGTATTTGTGGGGTGATTGCCTGTAAAAATAAATCCACTTTGACTCTTGAACTTAAGTTTCCCCGTAATTTTGTGTAGTTTTCAAAGCGTCGAGTGAAGTTTTGAAAACTTTCCTCTGGTGTATACGGCTGGAAAGGAATATTAGATACATTTTGACATGTTGCAGAAGCAGAAATTGCTGTATGTGTATCGTACTTTTTCTTTTCTGCTTCAAGGAATGTCCGTATCTCTCTAAATATTTCTTCTAACTGCCATCGAATTTCTAATTCACTTTCTACTGAATTTGTGTGAAGTTCAATATTTGACTGTGTAACCTCAATTTCAGCCCATATTGCTAAAAGTTTATCTGTGTAGTAAGTGCATGTATCTTGAGAATGTTCACATGTTGGTAAATCATCCTTGAGTTTGATCAAGCGTAGTTCTAGTAATTTCCTTTTCTTTAGACATAAGTCAAATTCTTTTCTACTTACCATTTTACTCGTCACCATTGTTGATTCCACTAATTTTAGTAATAAAAGTTCACATTTTGTATAAGAAAATAGAAGGTAAGTTTTTATAACAATTCAATAAGTAAACAAAATAATAATTTGAACACATGTTAGAAATAAAATGTAAATAAAACATATGCTAACAATGACATTTTATGGAGGAATTCACAAAAGTTTTCATAAGTAACTTTTACATTAATGGGGGTTGCGCTGTATTATTTGAAATTAAAAAGACGATATAACATACTACATTTGAATTAAAATCGTGTAAGTTGTGTTTGAAAATGCAATTGGTTCTGCATATACTGTAATGGGTTTTGATATGAAAATCACCATAAAAAGAAAAAATTGCAAAAAAGTATAAGACCAACAAGGGTACTACGGATTGTTACCTACATACAAAATTTAATCAAAATCGGGTACCACAGGTGTGGTTTGTAGCTCTGCACCCATTCACCCATACAGACACTACACACATACACACACACCAGAACACACACACACACTACTTCCAAAACCACTTTTTCGGGTTCAGAGGGACCGACCCAAAACGGATATATCCCCCTACAACTCAATCTCGAAAATGTTGACAAAATAATACTTTTTCCATAATATACTATGTATAGAGGGAGTAAGTGGATAATTTAAAATACGTTTTTACGTTATTAAGAACTGAGTGTACTTCATTTGACGATCTAATGTAAACCTGTGTTTCAGGAGAGTGAATGCCGTGCAATAAAATGTAAGTTCGAACAAATATTATCTACAGTACGGCAGTATATTCTTTATGTTAGGTCTGGCAATAAGTAAGTTTATTTAATCAAATTTGTTTTTGTTTTTCAAATTATTCTTACTTTAGCCAATAACTTGTACTCACCAGTAACTCTCTTAACTTCTTTTGCCATTCCCTCATGCTTCGTTCCCATAGGGTTATATTATTATTTTTTGCCACTTTTTAAATATCTTAATAGTCGTGTGGCTATGTCATTAGATTAGAAGTATCCCCTGTATTAAATAAAAATTAATAAAAATTATATGATCACAACTCTTGATGCATGTTTATTTCTTAACAATAAAAAGTATTACAGTATTTACAATTTGAAATTATTCCAGTTAAAGGAAATTCGGGGATTTGGGCGTGTTCCCAGCCTTTCGAGAAGAGGAACTTTCCTCCGCTGTCCAATCACTGAGAGATCGTAGTCGTAGAGCACCTGGTTTATGGCATTCCTGCGGAAATCCTCAAGCTCATCGTTAATTACGTTGCAAACATACATTTGGATATGTTCAACGATGCTTGGCAAACAGCATTTTCCGTCAGCGTGGTTTTCCCGTGGCCTACCTTGTCTTGATTCCCAAGGTGAATTGTGCACCGAAGAAGGCCTCTTCTTTTTTCTCAATGTCTATGCGTCACACCACTGGCAAAGTGATAGAGAAGCTAATTCGTGTCAGACTGAGGCTAACGTCTCTGCGGGTGATTTTTCCTGCAGAAGCATGGGTTTCCTTTCGGTCACTTGATTGGTGCCACCCAGAGGTAAATGAGGCAGTGCAGAGTGCGAAGGCCCACCCATTCGGAGTTCGGAGGTGGTAGTACCTCGTCACTCTTTACGTGAGGAACGCGTTTCACTCCTCCGTTATGCTGCGCGCGCTCGAGCATACGTTCTGCATTCCTCTCTACACCCCCCGAATCTTCAAGTCCTACCTTTCGGACCATGTCTTGTTTTATCACATCACTGAATTTCAGCGTTTGATAACTATCAATTCTGGGGCTGCACAGGGATCGATCCTGGGACCCAATCTCTGGAACGTGTCTTACGAGTGTCAGCTAAGACTTGAAATGCCTACCTCTTTGGCTACGCTGATGACGTCACTGCTTGGTTTGCAGTCGCCAACGTCAAAGAGGCAGAGTCAAAACCCGTGTGTAGAGATGCTCAATATCAACGAATGGATGCAGGACCACAGCTTGTAGATGGTGGTCGAAATGGCCGAGATCGTGGTCCTAACCATGAAGAGGATTCGCTGCCATTAGTATGCCAATGCCAAACGCTGGCGGTTCCTGTTCCTACAAACATCACCCACAGATGTCTGTGGTCTAATCAGTGCTCTTGTACGGTGCTGAGGCCAGCCAGAGTCCATGTGCTGGAGAGGCGTGTCTTCAGTAAATGGATTTCCCACGTTTAGCTGTGAGGGGCCTTGCAAGTTGCTTTTACCTACCGCACGGTCTCTGAGCCTGCAGTCATGGAGATTGGCAGTGCTCCCATCAGCGACTTCCATTTTTCAAAGGAGCGACAGGTGATCTACCGCAGGAGACCTGAAGTGGGCAGAGAGATTGCAGCTACAGAAGAACGAGACCGCAGTTTCAAACTCTGGCAACGCGAGTGGGACGCCGAGACTAGGGACGTTGGGCCACCATCTCGCACATCTCGCAATATGCCTTGCACATACACTCGCCAAACCCTTAAATCTCAAAATCTTGACGACATGAAGCTACAATTATCAAATCAAGACTGGAAGACAGTTCTAGAAAGCAGGACCGTAGAGGATGCTTATGATAGTTTCATCACGATTATCACTTCAGTTCTTGATGCCACGTGTCCCCGAAAGGCTTTCCGTGAAAAGAGGCGAAACCCTTTAACCCATGTCTACGATGATGAAGTCAAATCAATGAAGGAAAAGTTCATCAAAGCTCATAGCCGCTACGTCCTTAGTGGAAAAGAGGAAGACAAACTATTAACCAATAAGTTAAGAAGGACTATGACCTTAAGTTGAGAGCACTGAGACGAGAAGCGACAGCTAAATTCATCTCCGAGTCTTCAATAAAATCGAAGGCTATCTGGAATGTGATCAACAGCGAAAGAAAGACCAAGCAACGAGATCTTGACACCCTGTCATATCTGGTAATAAATTATGCAAAAGTGGAAGATCCTACTGAACTTGCTGGCAGCTTCAATGCATACTTCACAACAATTGCTGATGAGACCCTAAAGAACATTCAAGACCAGATGAAAGCCCGCAGCAAACAGGCCAAGCGTGTTGTCACATCTCCAATGACAGTGTTGGTGCCTACATCTGACCAGGAATTACTCGACACCATCAGAAGACTAAACAACAAGACTTCATCAGGCCTGGATGAATTTTCCTCCGTTATGGTCAAACACTGCCGGCAGGAATTGCTAACGCCGCTGCTTTACATAGCCAATCTAAGTATGTCTCAGGGCACCTTTCCAAGCAAGATGAAAACGTCAAAAGTGATTCCATTACACAAGAAAGGGAGCAAGCATTCGTTAGGGAACTTTAGACCTATCTCCTTGGTGTCTAAATTCTCAAAAATCACTGAGAAGGTCGTTCTGACGAGAATCATAAATCACCTGGAAAACAACAAGATAAATCTTAGTGGACAACATGGCTTCCAAAAAAAATAAATCTACCATCACAGCCTTAGTCGAGCTGATTGAACTGATCGTGGACAAACTTGAAGAGGGTGAGAATTTAACTAGTCTGTACCTCAATTTGAGCAAGGCCTTCGACTGCCTCAGCCACCAACTTATTCTTACCCAGCTCGGAGAACTGGGTTTTCAGGGCATTGCTAGAGATGGTTTCAGAGCTATCTGGTGGGCCGTAATCACTAATAAGCTTGTCGAGCTTAGGCAAAAGGAGAATGGGAAAATTGCCACATACAGGTCACAACTACTTCCTGTTACAAGAGGCGTACCTCAAGGCTCTGTTTTGGGCCCGGTGATATTTATACTGTTTACTTATGACCTTCCTTCATACATCAACCCATACAGCAGAGCAATCATGTATGCTGATGATACTGTGTCGCTTGCCTCAAACAAAACTACAGACAATCTGGAAGTGAAATCCTACATTGCGCTGAGCTTGGCGGCTGAATACTGCAGTATGAATGACCTAATCTTCAATGAAGGAAAAACCAACCAGGTGAATTTTGGCAACAAGAAGAACGAAATCATGGGGTATCCGGGCATCCAGATCAGTGACACAACCAAACATCTTGGCTTGATCTTGGACAGCTGGCTCTCATGGACTGACCACGTGGACGAACTTTACATGAGGCTGAGTACTGCAATCTTCGCTCTGCGGCGCATTAAGACTGTTAGCACAGTGGCAGCTCTTAAAATCTCATACCACGCCCTCTTTGAGAGTCGTCTGAGATATGGGATTCAGCTCTGGGGTAGCACCTCCCTCACCAACATCAAACGTGTGCTGATCCTGCAGAAGATAGCACTGAGGATAATGGCGGGCCTGAGTTGAAAGGAGAGCTGTCGAGTACCTTTTAAGCAGTGGCACATACTTACTGTGGTGAACGTTTACTTATTGGAAGTGATCTCACTAGCTTGCTCGAAGGGCCTTCCCAAAAATGAAGACACACACCACTACAACACCCGAAATGCTGGAAATTTTAACCTTCCTGTCCATCACAGCAAACGGTACGAGATGAAGCCTTCATACAATGGGGCTAAGTACTTCAACCTGTTGCCAACTGAGGTCAAGAACACAAGTCCAAGGCTGCTCAAGTCGAGGCTGAACGAGTGGTTGCTGAATCACCCTTTCTACAGCATCAACGAGTTCATCGAGTGGAGGAACAGCTGAAATTAGAAAATCTGAAATTTCCCAATTCCAAAGACTTATTCCACTAATTTACTGTAATTCTGTAATACTGTAATTCTCTGACACTATTACAATCTTGAAGATTGTTAATAAAGATCTCTCTCTCTCTCTCTCTCACCAGGCTCATTCCCAGCCTCTTAACATGGGTGGAACGGGAACATCGTGAGGTTAGGCATTTTGTGATCCAGTTTTTGTCGGGCCACAGGTACTTCGTGGCCTTTTTGCACAGAATAAGGGAAAACCACTAGCTCAGACTGTCTGTACTGTCTCAGCATTGCAGACACGGCCGAACTGACCTTCTTCTTTTGTGATAGGTGGCATGTCCACCGAGCCTATTTGATCTTGAAAATCGGCTTAGACATCACCCCCCCCCCCCCGATATTAGCTGGAGCTGTGCTCCATGGAGAGGGCACCTGAAACTGTGTAAATGTTCATCGAGGCTATACTTCCGACTAAGGAGATCGATATCGATCGGCCTTAGCCTTCGGAAATAAACAAGAAGGAAAGTAATAATGGCAGGGTTCAAAAGGCTCAAAGTATTGTGCTAAATAGTTCCAGGCTAGATTCCTACGAGATGGGGGGTTTTAGCCTGTAGTCGACGTCCCAGGGACGGCAAGGGATTCCGGCACTACTGAGAATACATTGAATCACTCACTTTACATACCCGTAAACGCATTTCAACCGCCTCACCCCCCCCCCAATATACACTTCAACAGAAAAGGCTTTGACGATGCAATTTTGCAATACTGCTATGACAAACATTCTTTTACTGACTAAATGTACTTTACATAGGACTTTCCACTGTTATTTAAGAATCATATCTGTTATTTGTATTCGATCATTAAGTTGAAATACATTAATCTAACATATTTTTCAGTAAAAGACATATCTAGATCGGACGTAAAAACTACCGGTAGAGTAAAAGCTACATATTACAACGGAAGATCGAATCGTTTTCGACTGAGCTGTTATGGAAACACGTTAAGAAAACACGCTATCCTCAGTATAAACAGTTACGAAATTAAAATCGATTTGGACTGTGCATCGGTCGACAAAATAGATGACATATTTCTTGCTGACGAAGATGAAGGCTCCAGGGACATCATTATTGGAAGTAGACCATCCCCCACTTCATATTGGTGTTACTATGCAATTCCACGTGAAAAAGATAAAGACATTAAACTAGAAGGCGAACGAGATCCAAGCGTCTTGCTCTCTCGATGGTACATGGTAAGTACACACTTACATATAGTATATTTCATCACTAGGAGTGAACGTAGCTCCTTTTGGTACGCAATGTGCCTCGTTTGGAAATAAGATTAGGTACCAAAATAGTATATTTCATCACTAGGGTCAAAGTGACTCTTTTCGACTCGACCTCAAGTTTTACGATCGAGGCGAAGACGAGGTAACCTTTTTTCCCATGTGTTGAACTATATTTTTCGTCATATTGCGCCATTATTTGAACACACTGTGTTAAAAAACTTAAATAGTTTTCATTTATTTTAGCAAAACTACTTCTAATTAGTTTGCAATTGTAGTTGTACTGTATCGGTAACACGCATCTGTTTAAAAAGTGATTCAATAGATTTGTCTATTACGATTGTGTTATTGTACATTATACTATCGATATGTCAAACTATTTACACTAAGGCAACAGTTAACTACAATCGATTATACAATCGAAACATACTTTCGATACATGCAATTCTGCTTACAATTGAAATTTACAAATGAGTAACAAGAGCTAATCTTTACTCCCTAGGGGCTAAAAATGATTTTTTTCGCCATTTATGATGGTTTTAGCTGTTTTAAATACGTTAATTGGTGGCTGAAAGCACAGAAAACATACTACTATAATCCAGAATGCCAACCGCATGGTAAAAAGCAAGTGTTTTGAGAGAGCTTTGCCTGTCAATTCGTAGGCAGCGCCACCAGCGTTTCCTTGCACTCAGCATAGCAACGCTGGTGGCGCTGCCTAAGTTAAAGAAGAACTAAGCTAAAAGTCACTAAGCTTAACTTAAAATTATGCACGTGCAATTTCTTTCAGTTTTAAAATAATAATGGAATACCAAATGTTTCAAATAACGTTACAGAGTATTAACTAAATACGAATTGTTTTCTTTTATTATATGTCCATTACCAATTTAATTCAAACTATAACATTTTCAGGGTGATCAAGCAGAGTGTCCCAGCGTTTCACGTAAGTTCCGAAAACTGGATACTTCATACATGCGAAATTGTAGTTTTGCAAACTATATATTACCATATACAGGGTGGGGCAGGGAAGTATCCCTAATTTTAAATGTTTTATGCTACAATTATAATTATTAATTAGATATAATTTAGATATTAATATTAATATTATTAATTTAGATTGTTCTTCCCTTTTTCTCTGTACGGTATGTGTATTGTGCTATTTAGATGATTCACATATGTTGCGTCTCTTGTTTACTATTTTAATGTTATCTTGCAAATAACGTCTTGGCAACCAATTAACCTATAAGGCCCATGATTTCCAAAAGTTTAAATTCAGGTAGAGAAAACCCCTGTGGTCCGATTTGTATTATTTCAGATTTATACCTTTCCATGGTTGGCTACTATAATTTTGCTGAATTTGGTGCAGATCGCTTCAGCCTTTTAGGAGGAGTATTTGTAAAACAAAATCAGGAGTGTAGTGTATTACCTCTTGTATGTAGAATTTGCTTTGCTCTATTTTTCTTCATTGTCTTCTTTCTTCATTATTAAAAAAAGAATCATTCGTTCAGAAGACTTATTTGCATTGAACATTCATAAAACTCACCAATTCAATTACCTCAATAACTGTTTACCAGTATTATTGTTGTGAAGGGTTGGGGTCAGCTACTGGGATCGTAGAAATAGTTTTAACATATGTTTAAGTATAAGCATCGTTGGTTGCCGCGCCAATTACTGGGATTGCGGAACAGAAATATCGTGTCGACGCCGTCAGTTAAACCATAGAATAAATATTACTTCTTATATGGTTAAACAGCGTTGGTGGTGTAGTGGTTAAAGTACCCGCCTTACGATCGTGAGGTCCTGGGTTCGAATCTCCTTGGAAAACTTAACAGTTTGCTTCTGATTTTGTTAGAATTTGATTTTCACTTAACGTATCTAAATAGCTTTTTTTTTATCTGAGCCATTTATAATTTTATTTTGGGATAAGAATGCATTTTTTACAAATACATTAACTTTTTTTGCAATCATTTCCTAACAGCGGATAATTGAGATATGCTAATCGATTCTTAAAATTATCAATTCGTTTAAGTATAGGCCTATAACTTAGGTCTGGTTTTACTTTAGCGGTTAAAAGTAAGAAATACTATTTGAAGTCAAGTCGACTTCTTTCAAAATTTCCCTTTTGTGCAATAAAATGTAGGCCTATCAATACGACAATCCTTTGGGATTTTATTGTCTAAGTTATACCATTTAGTTTAGTCTTAAACCTTACCTGTAAACCAAGTGGTTGTGATTTCATTTCGTAAAGTTATTTTGTATTTTTAGCTACAGTACATTATCTACAAATATACTTGCAAATCAAGGGTGGTGTGAATTTGTTAGTATAATTATTTTGTCGTGTTTTTTATTGACCACGTCTAATTAGTTGACTATTCATTGTTGTTAAAAAGAACAGAACGATTATAAAATTAAATACGAACGGCATGAATTTATTCACTGAATATAGAACTGATTCTTAATCAATTCGTATTACATGCAATAGACTAATATGCTCTTTAGTATTCATCAGATTTTTTTCTTTTGTACTGTATTTATAATGTGGTAGATTTGCTGACTAACATATGTCGAGGCTCTTGTTTACTTTTTAGTGTTGAGTCGCAAATAATGTCATGGCAACCAATTAACCCATAAGACCCATGTTAAATTTCTAAAAGTTTGCATTCATGTAGGGAAAAGTCTTAAAGTCTGATTTGTACCATTTCAGATTTATACCTTCCCATGGTTGGTTACTATGACTATGTTAAATTTCGTGCAGATCGCTTTAGCCGTTCAGGAGGAGTATTTGTAAAACAAAAGCAGGAGTGTAGCTTCGCTCGCTCCATTTAATCAATGACAAAATTAGAATAAATAACCTCATAATTCTATAGGGAATTTTTATAATTAACCAGCTGTTAGTTAAAACAAATTATATTGCACTAAAACAATCCGAAGATTACAAAAATTACTTAAAAAAGTTATTTGAACATCCTAGTATTTTACTATGTATACCTATTTAAATAATCCGTCATCCTCTTATCGGATTGGACGTCATGATTAGCATTACACATAGTATAAATAAGTCAACCCTAAGTATGTCTTTTAATTTGATCCAATTTCTGAATTTGTGTTACAAACGCTGAATGTTTACAGCTGTTATGTTAAGCAAATTATATTATACCAAAAGCTAGTTTAGTTCTTAGCGTCGGCTGCTAGACTTTTCAAAAATTAAACGTTAATTTCTAAATAACTGAGACCCTAAACTAAAAATATGGCTTCGACATTCCCTAGTTCTCAAAATTATCTTTCTTTCAACACAAAAATCATGAAAATCCGTGGAGTGGTTGATTCAGAATCTTGAAATAAAAAACCCCTGTTACGTTTTAATATTATAGATAGAGTGGTATTTACATAATAATTATAAAATCATTAACTTAAAAAAAAAATATTATAAAAGTATACTTTGTCTAAAAGGCAAAAAGGGGAAAAAATACCTTGTCAAATGATAAGGAAAAGGTCTACATAGGCAGGGGCCTGTGCGTAGATATGAGAAATGTGTCATTGATAGTAGTACTGTATCTCTGATAGGATTACTTTATCACTTATAGTAGTACATTATTACTTTTGGTATTACTGTTTCACTGATAGTAGTACTGTATATCTGATGGTATTGCTGTATCGCCAATAGCATTACGGTATCACTGATAGTAGTATTGTATCACTGATGGTATTACTGTATCACCAATAGTATTATAGTATCACTGATAGTAGTATTTTATCACCGATGGTATTAGAAGTACCATCATCGTAGATAGAAGTACTTTATCACTGTCGGTAGTACTGTTTCACTCATAGCAGTACTCCATCGTAGATCGAAGTACTTTATCACTGTCGGTAGTACTGTTTCACTCATAGCAGTACTGCATCGTAGATAGAAGTACTTTATCACTGTCGGTAGTGCTGTTTCACTCATAGCAGTACTGCATCGTAGATCGAAGTACTTTATCACTGTCGGTAGTACTGTTTCACTCATAGCAGTACTGCATCGTAGATAGAAGTACTTTATCACTGTCGGTAGTACTGTTTCACTCATAGCAGTACTGCATCGTAGATAGAATTACTTTATCACTGTCGGTAGTACTGTTTCACTCATAGCAGTACTGCATCGTAGATAGAAGTACTGTATCACTGTCGGTAGTACTGTTTCACTCATAGCAGTACTGCATCGTAGATAGAAGTACTTTATCACTGTCGGTAGTACTGTTTCACTCATAGCAGTACTGCATCGTTGATAGGAGTACTTTATCACTGATAGTAGTACATTATCACTTATGGTATTACTGTTTCACTGATAGTAGTACTGTATATCTGATGGTATTGCTGTATCGCCAATAGTATTACGGTATCACTGATAGTAGTATTGTATCACTGATGGTAATACTGGATCACCAATAGTTTTACAGTATCACTGATAGTAGTATTTTATCACCGATGGTATTACTGTTTCACTGATAGTAGTACTGTTTATCTAATGGTATTACTGTATCACCAATAGTATTACAGTATCACTGATAGTAGTATTTTATCACCGATGGTATTACTATTTCACTCATAGCAGTACTGCATCGTTGATAGAAGTACTTTATCACTGTCGGTAGTACTGTTTCACGGATAGCAGGACTGCATCAATGGTAGAAGTACTGTAAGACTGATGGTGCCGATATTATTACTGTATCACTGATAGTAGTAAAGCGACTAAGCACTTTTATTTTTAGAAACTAATAATTCATTTACGAATATATTTCCAGGGGCCAACATAATTACAATCTCTTTAAACGTAGAAACAATTAGTAAAACCCTTGTATCTACATACTCAGTTGATGTCAGGAAAGAAAAGGAGGAAGAACTACAAACGTTTATACTTCAATGTTATCGTAGAAATGATATCGACGCCAAATACATATTGACGATAGCAGAACGGAAAAAAAGTAATGCCAAAAATCGATACCGTGAAAAACTGCCTTTTGAGGATAACATTGTATTTTTAGCAGCATTCAATGATTTCGACTGCGCTCCTGAATCTAATCGCCCTTTACACGAAAAAGTGTACATGTTCACATTCAAAGACGGGTCAAAGAACATTTTGTCTTTTAGAAGTAGAGTTGACACTGACAAGTGGTGCCAGTACGATATTTGTGTAGAGAAGTGTCCGAAACCGAACCTGGTATTCTTGAAATATGCTGCCAACCCAGGAGGGTTTGAATCAATCAAGGTACGACAATAACATTAAGTACCTTAATATTGCAAAATGACCTAGAATCTTAGGATATTACATTGCATAGAAAATTATAACGGTATTTTGACAATTTAATTTATTCTAGAGCTATAATATTTAGAGTAAAAATGTGAGGAATAACCATTTAAAAATTTATTTTTTGTTTAAATTTTTGATAGGTTCCAACAAACTTTATTCATATTTTACTATTAAGAATAATATAGTATTATTTTACAAATATAATTTTCCTACAGTTACCTAACAATGTACATGTTCTCTCACTGATTTGAGAAAGCAAAGTGACCAATTGGCTCATCAGTAAAACAATGTTAACATTGTCTCACTCTAATTACTTTGTCTCACTCCAGATTTGCAACGTGAAGGCACGAAATAGTGAGCGCGTAACATGCAGGCAACGTCGTATGCGCGCGAAATACGTTGGCAGTACTGGCTGTGAATCAGCTGGTCAGCTGTTGTACTGTTGTATTTTTCACTTCACATTAAATGTTATATTAAAAGTACACTTCTGTGTAAAAATAGGTTATGTTTCTTCACCAATTTATTTGTTTTATGGTAACTGTAGGAAAAGTATAATGTGCAACTCGAGTTCAAAGTACAATTGCCTCACTCGAGAAACCATTCCTCACTCGCCTACGGCTCGTAAGTAAGGATTTCTCTCGAGTGAGTCAATTGCTCACTTTTCTCACTAGTTGCACAAATAACGATTTCTTTCTTTCCTACAATACAGTTACAGCTTTAGTTAGGAAGCTCGTGCGTAAACATTTCTCTCGTGTGCAGCAAAGTGCCACTTTGCACACTAGTTACACAAATAACTATTTCAGGTCCTTCTTGTAGACTTTAAAATAATACATGCATTATTAAGAAATCCTTCAAAGAAAGGTCAAAAACTTTACCTAACTATGTAGAGCTGATTCAGAGCCATGTTTGTTTTCGAACCACGACCATTTTAAATTCAACATAATTTGAGTACTTTTTGTAAAATAGTTATGGAACTCCATATTCACCTCTTTGGATTATGTTAAAAAGACTATAAATTCATAAGCCATACTTAGTACTCTGATATGTTCGTTACATCAAACAAGCTTTACAGACGGATAGTTACTTAATCACACTTTGTAAAAAAGTATTAGATGGCTTCAAAATACTCTTAGTCCTTGTTACTAGTCAATGCTTGCCATCGAAAGTGACACTTATACTTTCCAATAGCTATTCATCAGATAAGTTTACCAGGTTTAGCAGGTAAGTTTACCTTTTTGACTAGGAAAATACATTGATCACACTAAATTATATTAACAACTATATGACATTAAATTTGCACTATTGGCTTTTAGGAACATAAGTCCCTAAAAAGCTCAAATGTTAAACAAATATTGTAATATTTGACAAGCTCAGTATCAAATTATGTATGTGTTAGGATGAATACTGTACACCTTATCTTTTGTGTGAAAACAGTCTCTTTGCTTGCTTTGTTAATGTTATTTTCAATCAATAAATAATTTGTTTCAGAGGTTTAACTATTCAAAGTCTTAAGTGTTGAAGGCAGCAAACATATAATTCTTTGTGAATAAATACTGGATAGTTTTAGTCTTGTTTTAAACGATAACAAAAAAAGCTTCCCTGTAAGGAATTTCGGAAACCATCTTGGTGAAATTTGAAAGGGCATAGTAAAAAGGGGTGTTGAGATAAGCTTACAGTTCAGTAGTTCACGGTTAACTCCTTTTGTAAAGGTTTAACAAAATTAATGAAAAGGTATCCTATTGTCCAAATTTAATCCTGGATTTGTTTCTGATCAACATGAAAATAGAAACTACACTTGGTTTAAATGTGGTGGTATTCCTCCTAAGAATGCGATTGCATTTACATATTCTATCAAAATAGGCATATTTAAACGTTTATCGGATTCACAGTAAAGACCACACTGAATTATTCATTTGCTTGTTCGTCCGCATTTTTTTTTTTTTTTTTTTTTGTAAGTAATTGTGAATAGTATACATTTTTTATTTAATGGATACATTATTATTTGGAATTAAAATCCATGTTTTGGCCTTTGATCTGTATCGTAACTAAACATAGGCTTTATCCGTCAATCCTGCTCAAATGATGTAACTACGTTGGTTACGGCTGTTTTGGCATTACAATGCCATCGTCAGACAACGAAATCTCGGCTGAAGTAGCGTCGTTGAAGTTAAAACCATACATAATACATAGTCCCTGTTTTATCTATGTTAAAACACATAACACTCAAGAGCAATACGAATTAAATTTACACATTTCACAAAAAATATCAGCCTGTCGTACTAAATGCAACCGGTTGACATGTTCCCGTTCCGAGCAAGGTGCCGACTGGCGTAATGCCGGCCGTAGCCAACGTAGTTACATCATTTAAGCTGGTATGAGGAATGTAAAGCCTATTTTTAGTTATAATTTTGTTTGATTGGCTTAAATATTTTGTCACTGGTGGGGGTTCCATTACCCAGTCATCGAAACAAATCATGAAATTACTTTTCATCAGCATTGACATGCATATTTTTGGTTAGTTTAAAGAAATGGAAACTAACTCTAGGTTTACTGTTATATATAGATGCTCCCTTTGCAATCTATACTATTCATGCTAGGCTATATTATTTCAAACCTTTTCCCTTAGAACAACAAGCAGTTCCTCGCCTGATTATACTCTCCTCCAGACAGTATTATTTTTCCGCCCATTGGAACGTGTCATATTAATTACTTAGTAAAACATTATTGCCTGTACGAACCTATTTCATCTTTATTCCCAGGTTATTTTCTTAGAGTAGCCATTACGGTTATTCCACTTCAAAAAATTGATTAAACACTACAATAAGCGTCAAGTTAAATGTTACAAAAAGGTTTAGAATTCATCGTCAACATATCTTTTGAAATAAAAACAAAGCAGACGGGTTCCATTTAATTTTGAATCGTTGATTATTTAGTCAGTGTGGTTATTTTGTTTAACATTCCTTCAACACAACAATAACCTTTAAATGTGAAGTAATGTAAAAAAAGTAAAATAATTTTTCCTACAGTCGCCCGACAAAGTTGGCTTCCTTGTACTGTTTATAGTACAGAAAGCTGCTAATTGCTGCATATTTATACTTTATCGTACGGTTTATACTTTGTCGTACGGTTTATACTTTGGCGCACATCAGGATTCCAACGAAACAACACAAAACAGCGTGGTTCTATTGTGCACGTAATCCGTGTACGCTTGGAAATAGGTTGGCAACACTTAAGGGTGTTTGGTCGCAAATTTTCATGTCTGATTTTTTGTTATTGTTTAATTGTACTAAAAATTAGAGATACAAATATATAAGAAAAAATGTTTTATTTTGAATATTAAGCGAGATATGGAGCTTGAAAGTAGTAAATTTTTAATCTTTGGTACCAGTTCACAGGGAGAATGGGTAATGCGATTCTCACCAAAATTTGCATTCAGGTGTGGAAAAATAAGATAATAATCACTAGCTATTTAAAATTAAAAAATTAAAAAAAAATTTATTTTTTATTTTTTATAAATTATTTAAAAAATTAAAAAAAATTTAAAAATAGCTCTTTGTTTTTGGGAAAAATGTATCTGTATGTTGGAATAAAAAAAAGTGATATGTTAACTCGTTTGGGCCGTGAATTCGTACCTTTGATGCCTTGCGCTGTCGGAGCACTACTCGTTGAGAGTTTGTACACTAACACCGAGGCTTTAGAATACTTTAACATCACGTAATTATTAACATCCATTAACATTGAAAGAATACGTTTATCGTTGTATTCTAAAGCCCCGGTGTTAGTGTACACACTCTCAACGAGTAGTGCTCCGACAGCGCAAGGCATCAAAGGTACGAATTCACAGCCCAAACGAGATAACATATCACATTTTTTTGCATTCCAACATACAGATACATTTTTCCCAAAAACAAAGAGCTATTTTTAAATTTTTTTTAAAAATTTTTAAATTTAAAAAAAAAATGATACAAAATAAAAAATAAATTTTTTTTTAAATTTTTTTATTTTAAATAGCTAGTGATTATTATCTTATTTTTCCACACCTGAATGCAAATTTTGGTGAGAATCGCATTACCCATTCTCCCTGTGAACTGGTACCAAAGAATACAAATTTACTACTTCCAAGCTCCATATCTCGCTTAGTATTCAAAATAAATAATTTTTTCTTATATATTTGTATCTCTAATTTTTAGTGCAATTGAACAATAACAAAAAATAAGACATCAAATTTTTGACCAAACACCCTTAAAGATAATAATACTATGAGCAGCTGATTGACTATTATAACTACGATTTAACCTGTCATTTCGTGTTTATAGTTTATGTTCTCTTTTCAGTATTTCTGAACTATCTGGACTTTTCTTTTAATCGTTTTTAAAACATTCTTACGATCTTAATAAACAAGAAAATACCTTTAAAGCATTTTTAGGCGCGGAACCACTGCAAATTACAAAAATATTCGGTACTTCGGAAAAAATGGTGGGGTGATTCGGACCGGGGACTACTTTCTCTAGGGCACCTATAGTTTGGCCAATGTCCCGTGCGCCCTGGAGGATTAATTATGCCCCCTGATTAATTAATTATGCAGCCCCCAGTACACTCTCGCCGAGGCATAACGAGCGTTGGCGAGTGCGAGAGTGTACTCGGTTCGCTCGTCTTCTCTCGCCTTGACTCGGGTCGCCTCGCCTCGCCTTGCCTCGTGCTCGCCAGCGCTCCATCTGGAGTCGGTTTTTGACACGAGTCAAAGGACCCGAGACTGCACGAGTGGCGAGCGCTACTTCCACATTGAAGTTTGTCCCATTTTGACTGCGAGAAAATGAGCTAGGCGCCCACCGGGCAACTCAGCGGGTGACGCGGCGCGGCGCGACGCCGTGGAAAAAAGTTGCCACGTATCCGTGCCATGTTATCTTATGGACTGACGCCCACCTAGCAACCCAGCGGGTGGCGCAACGCGGCGCGGA